AAATTTACTGTTACTTTCATAATGTCCTTACACAAAATTAAAAAAATAAAAAAATTTGTCGAAGAAAGACATAATGATTGATAACAAAATAAAACAAACCAGAATGTGGGTCACTAATTTTACTTTTTTTCGGACGTAGCACTTAATGATAGTGTGCGAGACTATTGGAATATCTTGCAAAATGAATATTATGTAGAAAGCCCATAGTTAGGGCAACAACAAAAATTTAGTTCATTACTTTTCTTTGTTAATTAATGCTTGCGTATTGAAACAGTGTTTTTCTACAAATTTTTATAATATCTAATAGATCTAAGGGTTCATTATTTATAGTAAGTTTTTTTGTTAAGTGAAAAAAATTAGTGTTTCTTTTTCTCTCCTTTGTTTTTTAGTTGAGTCTTCCTGTTCCTCATGAGTTATTCTTTAGTCCAAGCCTCCTCTCAAATTATAAGAAAGGTACTATACGAGAACAAACATTCAACCTACTTTATTAATAAAAATAAAAAAAAGACTTCGACAAATAAACGACAAAAGTGTAATAATAGTATCACAACGAACACAAATAGTTCTATAACAGTTTAACCATACTTTTTCATATTTTTAAGAAAGTAAAACATCATTCAAAAAAGTTTTACACAATAAAAATTCCTAGATTACACAAGAAACAAAATAATATCGTACAATTTTGAACAGACAAAATACAAAAATTAGATAATACCATTGTAAAGTACACTTGTGTGGTGACTGCCCCACAAAATATATACAAAATATATAGAATAAACTAAGAGAACACTGAAAAAAAGAACTTGAGAGCACAAAAAAAATAATAAAAGTGTATCCGTCATATTTATGCATCGAATATTTGTTTACTTTTCATTATAAAATCTTACAGAACTTTATAATTTTCTAAGCAAAATGGTTAGGTTAAAAATAATAAATGTATGTAAAAAGAATATTTAATTTTCAGCAAAATTTATTCTCCATTCTATCAATTTCAAATTAAAAATAAGAGTAACAATAGTAGTTTTGGTTGCTAATGTGCATCTCTCCAGAGTGATCCCTAAGCTCAAAGGCGTTTGTAAAGCAAAGCCCGAGATATCGTTGAGACCACCCAGGTCAGATGCACACGATTGACCACTATTTTTTCTACTGAAGGCCCAGAAGCAACTAAAAAATGCTTTAAAATGTGACGAAAGCTATTATTTTTCCGTACTCTCAAGACTACTCTTTTCTCTCTGGTTTCAGGAAGTAATGTGTCACACTTTTCTTGGGTAAAAAGTCGTGCTTACTGCTCGTAGGAACTCATTTTTCTGTCTTCTACGTATTTTTATTGTTTTATTCAAGAGGTTCTCTAGTACTTTTAGTTCTAAAATGACGTTAAAAAGCCGTAGTTTTAGCGAAGAAAACGACACATTGTATGCAAGCTTTGGGAAGAAAGTACTGCATCATCTTTCACGCATTTGCCACCCTCTCTTTTGGCTGCAGAATTATCAGTTTCTTATTTCATCAGGACGCAGAACTTGGAGTTGTAGTGTTCTGGTGACAATAATTTCTATTTCTTATGCAGTTTTATTACAAAGATTAAGATAAATAGATATAAGGTTACTTACATTTGTTAAAAGAGACATTCCACGGTTTTCGCACAAGAATGTTTTCACAAGAACTGTTATCGAAATTTTTGAATATATTAATCGCAATATTCTTAGTTATTTTTAGATAATTATTTAATTTGCAATTGTCAGAAAGTTATTACTTAACTGTCATAAGTTGAGATCTTGTGAGCTATAGTTCTAATAGATAGGAGTATCGTGTGAGCTATAGTTGTAATAGTGGCTGTACTATGATTGCAATATAAGATAAACTTTGTAAGTGTCATAGCTTTGATACTTTTTTGACCCAATTTTTATCTCTATGTACATTCATTGTATGTTATTGCGAGGCATTCTCAAATCATAATCTCTCCTAAGGGTCTTATGCTTGTTACGATACATTTGTACATTTTTTTTCTTCAAAAATATGCAAAAAATATCATATTGAAATATTCCTATTTCTTATGTGGTCGTTATATTGGTGGAAATGAGGAAAAAATTTTCCACTTAGATATTAGGAATAAAAAATATCACTTGAAAGCATCCAAAATCATAAATCAAATCGCATTTATACAGTGTACACAAAAACATTGAATTCTGACTGAATCGTTTGTAATCCACATCTCTGAATACTCTACTTTTAGTAGTGATAAATGCATTATAGTAATTTTTGTAGGAGTGGTGTTGGCTCAGTGGTAAGTGTACTTGGTACTGATGCAACACCGTTCTAGGCGTCGTAGGTTCGATTCCTGGTGAATAAAGATATTCTTTAAACTGTTTTCATCGGAAAAAGTTCCTACAAAACCCTGTCCGTTTTGGAGCGGATTTTTCCATGGTATTTTCCTTTAGAATGATTCTATGCTTTTTTCCATGCCCCATAAGTCTTCGGACCTGGATGGATGCGAAACAGTGTTAAGAATATAAGTATCAATTAACGGATCCAATGCCAGGCACCAGGTACGACATGCCGGTCTTACCAGCTAGCAGTGATCCCTGAAGCATGGGGCTTCTTCGGGAATACCAATTAGTCTGGATTCAATGCTTGGACACAGAGGGCCAGCTAAACCAACGAAAAGTGAACAGTTCTGAGTTTTTTTCGGGCAAAGACTACACAGAGATAAGTGGACTCGATGCACCATTGGTACAGAGAGTGCCAGCTTACCTGTCAAAGTGTTTTACTGGAGATATTTCCTCATGGTATGATCGGCATGATCTCACTCAGAAGATCAGTAAATGGGTGTAGCAATGCAACCCCACACATAAAGACTGGTAAGGAATTCATAAACGATTACTTGAAGACCAATACGTAGACATGACTATATTTCAAAATTGGGTTTCTAGAAAATTTATTAAGAAATACGTAAGACTGAGAAAATTATCCTCCCTAGGTGCGGATCGAACACACGACCTCCTGTTTACTAGACAATTGCTCTACCACTTGAGCTACCAAGGAGCCGTACGTTTACTCGCACCGTAGGTTAAGATAAGTTCCCGTTCTTAATTTTTGAGTTTTTTTTATTTAAAGCTAGGTTTTAAGATAGGCATATTGGAAAATGATTCTAATCTTTGTTGTTAAGTGAGAAATTTAATATGACGTTAAGAGTTGTACAAGCAATTTAAATACAATTATGGTATCAATAGGCGTATACGTAGATGGCGGTACTTTTATGGAAGCACTCTTGAAACCATCCATACCCTTTTCTCGATAACAAATACACAAAAAAATCATGATGAACACCCACATATGTGTGCATCTTGGCTTCCACACGATCCAGAGCCACATAATTGTATTAAAACTGCTTGTGTATCTCCTAACATAATATTAAATTTTTACCTTATTAACAAACATTAGACTTATTTTTCAATATACCTATTTTCAAATCAAGCTTGAGATAAAGCAGCTCAAAAATTAGGAATGGGAGCTTATCTAAACCTACGGTGTGAGTGAACGTACGTACGACTCTTCGGTGGCTCAAGTAGTAAAGCAACTGTTTAGTAAACAGGAGGTTGTGTCTTCGATCTGCATCCAGGAAGGATATTTTTCTCACTCTTACGTATTTCTTTATAAGTTTTTTGAAAATAAAATATTGAAAAATAGTTATGTCTACGTGTTGGTCCTCAAGTGTTCGTTTATTAATTCTTTATTTAGTGTTAACATGGAAGACGGCTATAATTCAACTGGCCTATTCTATGGCTCTAGATTACATGGAAGCCAAGACGTACATATTTGTGTGTGTTGATAATCAATCTTTGGTATATTTGTTATCGAGAAAAGGGCATGTATGGTTTCAAGAGTGCTTACATTCAAGTGCCGCCATCTACGTATGCGCCTATTGATACCATAATTGTATTAAAATTGCTCGTACAACTCTTAACGTCATATTAAATTTTACACTTATCAACAAACATTAGAATCATTTTCCAATATACCAATCTTGAGATCGAGCTTGAAATAAAACAGCTTAGAAATTATGAATGGAAACTTATCTAAACCTGCGGCGTGAGTGAACGAATGGTTCCTCGGTAGCTTAAGTGGTAGAGTATGTGTCTAGTAAACAGGAGGTTGTGAGTTCGATCCACACCCGGGGAGGATATTTTTCTCAGTCTTACGTATTTCTTAATATATATTCTGGAACTGCAATTTTAAAACGTAGTTATGTCTACTTGTTGGTCCTCAAGTTATCGTTTATCAATTCCTTATTTAGTGTACATGGAGGACGACTATAATTCAACTGATCCCACAAATAAAGGATGAGATGGCGGCCCCAGCGACTATGTCACTAGGCTGTAGCGATAACTCAGTATAGTAATTTTATAGAATATCGCATACATTGTATGTCCGAGACAACTAAGCTTCGGAAATCGTGCCAATGAAGAAAAACGAACACTTTAACCTCAGTAGATACGCCCAGTGTAATGATTTTTTAAAGAATAACACATACAAACAAAAATTACTTATACAGATGTCATAAACGTCCTTCGAAAAACCGTTTCGTGCATCTTATAATCATTATACAAGAAAGCAATTGAAAAATTAAGCACATCTATGAGAAGTACTTTTACAAAAAATTTTAATTTTACCTTAGAATCAAATTCTTAGTTACGAGTAACTTTTAGTTGAGGGAATACTTGAAAATTTTATTGATTTTCGGAATGATTTCAGAATTTAGATGAAGTAATGCTCAGTTGCTCAGAAAAGTATAGTCAAATTAGTCAACTCAGTACGAATAATAGATCGAAAAAGATGTTTAGTTACGAAATAAATATCAAATTACTACTGGCTATCAGCAGGTATTTTCTAGTGTATAATGTCAATTTAATAAATATGAACTCAGAAAAGCAAAAATTTAGGAATTTCTTTTAATAATATTTACAATACCCAAAAAGGACAAAGATTGCAGTAATATCTTCAAAATAAGGAGTACAAAATTTATTTTTTAGTTATTTAGACTAATGTCGAAAAAATGAGTCATATTTTGGCAATATTTTTTTGGTAAACATGTTTTGAGTTGTTCAAAATTCAACCATTGATGCTCGCTTTGACAGTTTATTGGTCCATACAAGTATCGACCAAGAAAATAAAACGTTCTTGTCAATTGTTTTTTTTTATTTAACTCAGAGAATTGACTTTCACTATAGCCTAATGGCGCTGAACCATACACAAAAATATTACAGTCACGTCCACACCAACTCTTCAGGATTCTTCTAGCTGCCTGAAAAAAAATAATAAACCTTAAATATGAAAAAATCTGCTATTAACAACATAAGTAAATTTATAGCAATAACATTAAGAATAAGAAGATAACAAAAATTAGCTGAGAATACATATAAATAAAATGAACGTAAAATAATGAAAAGCTTCGAAAAGTTACTAGTTAGCATGCTAACTTCCTAGAAAAGAATCTCAAGGGATTATAAGTTTTAATTCTGTTGACAAGTATGAAGATTGATTTCTCCGGCGTTTTTGAAATGATAAGTGCTGTAAGAGCTTCAATACTACTCAGTCGATTTTAAGGACGAACGAAGACGCAAATTTCGTCAAACTTACAATGTTTTTCAAAAAATTTCTGAAGTAATCTATACGTTCTCTGGGCATGTCATAAGACAATTCTATTTACTTTTTTTGTCATCTTTTATACATCATAACAATTGTGATAAGAATAACTCTTTTGAATTCATATTTTCTCAAAAAACCTCAGAACAATTTAATAACAACCTCTAAATTTTTATAATTTACCCTTTTATTAGGTTTCTTTCCGTATTTTTTTTTCTGAATCAAATTGTAAGGAACTATGGCGTACTGTGTAGCTTCAAAGAAGAGCACTTTCGAATAAAAGATAATAAAGTTTAAAAAATTATTTATAATTTAAAATGTAACCTAATGAAAATAAGGTAAAAAACGATAAAATTTTACGTCATTTAGAGGGGGGTCACGGAGCAGTGGAGGGGATGGGAGAATGTGTGGAATTACCCTTTAAAATCACGATATAATATAGGGAGATATGGGTGCATCCAAGCAGAGCGAGCCAGCCAGCGCACGCGGCGCATTTTTCTTGTGAAGTACGATCTGTTCAACTCACTCAAAGTCGAAGGCAAATAGCTAAAAAAATTATCAAAGCACATAGATTGATAGATTATGACCTAATCTTCACGATGGTGTGGTCGGTTTCTGAGGAAAAATCTTTTATCGTTAATCTTACAAGTTCAAGTCTTTATTTTTCAAGTTTTGACTTTATTTTTATTTATTTAATTTACTCTAATCGAAAGAGCAACTTTTAAACTACATCTCCTCAAATTTTCAGAGTGGGATGAGAATGGGTTTACGAATGGTTAGCAAAAGAGTACCGTGTTGCGTGATCAGACGCTGCTGCCCAAGCGCGAGCACCGTGCCGCCGCGCGCCGCAGCCGTTACCACGTCGATAGCTTGATTGTAATGTTTACATTGAACGAGTGATTCTTGTGAAAACTTCTTTTGAGAATTAATCTTAGTTCAGAAAAAGTTGTGCTCTTTACAGTGGATAAGTCAACTATTCGTGTGAAATAATGTTTTGCTTTTTTCTTTCTTTCAAGAGTAGTTCAATCTGATACTTTAATATAGAACGCGAGTAAGTATTATTCAATAATGGTTATGTAACCTCCAAATTCATCATTCCAAACTATCCATCAATTCCACATTCTTTTAGATGCTGTCATTATTATGGGTGTATATCATTGCTTTGATCCTCACAAAGGAGCTATTACACATTGCAAAACGCTTCGAAACGTACCAGATCAAGTTAAAAATGTTTTTCCGTATTTGACTCACAACGACCATATTTGTGATACTTGTCGAAAAAAATATAACAAAATTTACAAAAAATACTCCGTAACAAAGATACATCAAAAACGGAAAAATTATTACTCCTTCAATTATTGCCCAAATCGTCGAGTGAACATCGAATCATGAATTTTTCAAGTGCTTCTAAACGTCAATCTCACAACTTGAAATCATTGAACAATACACATGGTGAACCAACAGGGATTGATTCTTATAATCGCATTCAAGACGACGTAAAACAATCGGTAGTCTTGTTTTATGCAAATGAAGATGATAGTAGAATACTCCCTGGTATAAAAGATTGTAAATGCCTAGACGAAAATGGGCAAAAAGTATTCGTTCCAAAACGGCTTTTACTTTGTAATTTGAGAGAGCTGTACGAAAAATTTAAAGAGAATCATCCGAATATTAAGATTGTACGAAGTATTCCTGAGATTATCTGTAAGAAGCCTTAACCAGAATGTTATATGAATAAATGTACTCAGTGTCCTGGTATTCGTCAACTTCAATCGACTCTAATTCAGTTGTTAAATGATGCTTTAGTCTATCAAATCAAGTACCAATCTTGGCACACGACTGATAGATCCAACCTGACTACACGCGTAGATTGCATTGAAACATTTATTGCTGATTTGTTGGTTGAGTTGGTTAAACTGAAAACTCATTCATTTCTTGCAAAAAAACAATCAGCGTATTACCAACAACTAAAAAACTCACTACAGAGTGGTGAATTTTGAATCTCTCTAGATTTCTCAGAAACTTACGCTTTTGTTGCTTAAGAGGCAGCCCAATCTTTTTACTATAACAACAACTAGTGTAGTTTAGCCACTATAGTGATCCACCACCCCCAAAAAATCATAATTAATTTCCGCAAAAAAAAATTTTAAACAGTTAACAAGGTTATATATTTTACTGATGGGGCTGCCCAACACTTCAAAAATAAGTATAATTTTCGAAATTTATCAAACCGTATAGAAGATTTCAATGTCGAAGCGGAATGGCACTTCCATGCTACCGCTCACGGAAAGAACGCGTGTGATAGGATTGGAGCTTCAATTAAAACTAATGCGCGCCATGCAAATTTGAGAACAACCTTGACCAATATATTGACTCCTGAAAGTTTGTATGATTGAGCAACGTCTTACTTCCAAGACATTGAATGTGTGTATACAATTAAAGATGATTATTTGGCTGAAAAAGAAAAGTTGAAGAACAGATTCGATAAAGCAATAACGATTCCTGGTACATTAACTTATCATTGTGTAAGACCTATGAAAGACTCTTATGGTTTTGAATGAAAGGAATCTTCATCATTCCAATAGTCCACTTGGTTTCCGCCTATAAAAAAGACTGGGAAACGACAAGAAATGTCGGATACAAGTCAAGTGAATAAAAATGTGAAGGCCACGAAGAAAATCAAAAGTTCCCAGCCTGTAACGCCAAAACGAGGAAAATGTGTGTAATTAATAGTTTCGATGATTTGGAGCTTTGTTGTACTATATTATTCAATTTAAATTTACATAGTTTCTTATAAGTCTGACAATGAAGGTGAAAATCTGATAGTTTACTTATATTTTACATTTTTCCGATACTTTGTTTCGATCGCGAGTGAGTTATAAAAACAGTACGTCGTCGGTCAGTCAGTGCGGTGGCGCGGAGCTTGGGCTGCGGCGTCAGACCACGCAATACGGTTTTTTTTTTGCTTGCCATTCGTAAACCCATGCTCATCCCACTCTGAAAATTTGAGGAGATGTAGTTTAAAAGTTGCTCTTTCGATTAGAGTAAATTAAATAACTTGAAAAATAAAGACTTGAACTTGTAAGATTAACGATAAAAGATTTTTCCTCAGAAACTGACCACACCATCGTGAATATTAGGTCATAATCTATCGATCTATGTGCTTTGATAATTTTTTTAGCTATTTGCTTTCAACTTTGAGCGAGTTGAACAAAGCGCACTTCACAAGAAAAATGCTCCGCGAGCGCTGGCTGGCCCGCTCTACCTGGACGCACCCATATATCATTCACCATTATTAAAGTATTTTATATTAAGAAACATTCTCATTCTATTATTATTATATTACTAGCTTCACGAAAAACTTCATAACGTTACTAAGACGCACAAGTTATTTTAAAAAGCTCCTTTTTATGCTATTGCTGGTATGTTATACATGATAACAGATAAGTTACTAGAATTTAATGGAAATACAACCTTAAATTTTGAAAAGAAATACTACATTTGTAACTAAAGGACGAAAAATAAAATAAACTACTGATGTTTAAACATATTGTATGTTTAGATGCTGTGATTTCGACCGAAAAATAAAAAAGGAGTTATTAATTTCTGTTATCCAATATCCGACCCTTACCTTTTATCCGAATTCACATGCATAGATGATTGCGATTAAACTACAATTCTTACATTTTGTAATCTGAAATTTTTAATAAAAATTTAAACAGTGTTACTGTTATTTTGGTAACATTAAATGGTCCCCATGTTAATGCATGGATTCGACCTTAAATTCGCTATAAGCAATTAACAAAGCATTCATTGTAGTTACAATTTTCTTGAACACTTCTATGTACGTTTTTATATGCCACATTGGATCGGCCATTTCAAGTTTATAATAACCGACCTTAGAATCGTAATCAGCAACTACAGAAACCCACTCTCAGAGCAATTTCGAGAAAATGATATTGGAAACAGGAATTTCAAAAAGACATTCACTTTTTCTAGTAATTTTTCCAATAGTGATGGTAAATTATAATTGTTTACAATAATATGACGGGATTGTCTATAGTTTTCTATATACCTAGTATAATAATCTGTAAGATCAAGAAAAATCATAAAAATATCTCTATCCTGTCTCGACATTTACGATTTTGATACAGAAAAAGCAAATTTTTCCACTGTGCGCTCCGTGCGTCAACCCCTCAAAAATAAACTATAACTTAAAATTTTTAATTAATTTTTTCAGAAAGCTGTCTTTACAGTATTCTCACAATTATTATTAGCAAACAACTTATTACTCAAAACTGTGTAAAAATAAAATTTTTATATTTCATGCAATTTTTTCACACAAAACTTTATATTTGCTGTATTCTTCTAAAAACATACTTTAACAATTATCTAGTATCTTTAAATTAACCTAAAAAAGTATTCTCGAATGACTAGGGGAACAAATAACTCTTATAAGTATTGTGATAAAATATAACAACTAATATCATAGCTTTTATAATTAAACAGCGTATTTTACACCTACTTAATTTTTTAAAACTATGTTGTAAAATTAAAACAATGTTGACAAGAAGTGAAAAAAATGATTTAAATTCTCAAATTCTAAGAAAAAAAATATTCTGTTCATATCTACAGATAATTTGAAGTCCAAATTTGAAG